AGTTTACGGTAGTGTTATTTTGATCCTTATATGAATAAACCTAATCTGTTGTGTATATTTGTAGGTGGAGGAAGTGAATTCATTGGTGGCTGAACTGTCAAATATTGCTACAAAAGAAAGGGTCTTGCTTGAAAAAAGCAAGGAAGTATTGTCCATGTTAGCCGCCATGCAGGTTAGATCCCGAAACTTGGTGTTCCTTCTCTAGATATGTACAAAGTTTAATTTTTTAATCTGACAGACAATCCTACTGTTGGAAATCAGGTCAAAGATTGTAGCTTGAGGACGCATACATTGCAGCTTAACCGCTCACATTTAGCCTGACAAGTGACAACACATCTGTAGTACTAATCCTGGATTGACAATTGATTTTAAAAACAACCCGCTAACACACACACGGACAGCTTCTTTGATGGTAGTCAGAAGCAGCAACTGGAGATAAGAAGGGACGGATAACTTTAGATTGGCTATCATGATTGGCATATTTTTTTTGATCTGCTTAGTCGTGTTTCATGTCTTTTAGAAGCAGTATCTCCAGTAGCGATATCATCCTTAATGTAATCAGTTGTATCCACGGTTGCTTTTCTTATCTTTTACATTTATGGATGGGTGAAAGATGGTGTATGTAAATAGTGTAATTTCTGAGTCACTTGAGTTAGTTCCTAGTTTTCATATTTGTGCCATTGCTGATAGAAGATCATGCCTAAATCTCTGCATTGATACAATAACTCAAATGAACACTAAACCACTAACCCTGAGTCCCTGACTGCCTGAGATATTCAACTTGTGAGTTGCACAATTGAAACAAAGCTTATGCACACAAAATAAAACCATCTTACTTGCCCAAGTCCAAAGTGTGTGATGTAAGAGAGTGTATCTAGAGTTAGATGTGCCTTTTTTTTAGAGAACTACAAGGGCAAGTGATGAAAATTTATATCAAGATCTAAAACCGGGAAGAAAGCTCTAATCACTTGAGTTATCCCTCATGCTCAAATGTGCTCTTTTTAACCCTTTGTTTATTACTTCGTTTGTTTATTTTGCTAGCAATGTTTTCATTGTGTACATAATGTACTTTAATTACATGTGATATATGCTTAAATAACTTGTAGTTTTATGGGATTTTGTTAAATTTATTTGATTGGTAGAGTCACAGATTTCAAATAGGGAGGACAAATGGACGTCGTATAATTTGACAAAATTGTTGGAACAAAAAAGAGTAGATATTCCAAAATACTTGCATTTATTTTTAATATAACATTAATTGTATATAAGTTAGGGAATTTTGATTTTTAACAAAAAAAAAAAAAAAAAAAAAAAAAAAAAAAAGAAAGAAGGTTGAAATTGGTTTTTAACGCCACCAAAATTTTAATAATTGGAAATTGCCACCACTTAACTGATTTCGTCCTAAAATCCGTTAAGTGAGGCTATAGTGACACATGTCACTTTGCTATTAGCCAAAATAAGAAAAAATATTTTTAATAAACAAAAAAAGAAAAAAAAAACCCTTGAACTACTCAGCCAGACCGCTTAGCTCACACCATCACCTAGACTGCCACAACGAGTGATACCACGATTGTTGCCACTACCACTACCACCACTATATCTTTCGATTCTAATCAATGCGTCCACAACATTTATCTCAGAAGCATTGGGTGGGGACTGGGGAAGAAGAAGCGTCGGAGGTTAGTTAAAGGAGCAATTGCAGGACTTATTGGAAAAGGGATACATTAGACCAAGTGCATCACCTTTGGAGCGCCAGTCTTGTTTGTAAAGAGAAAAAATGGAAGTATGAGGCTATGTATTGATTACAAGAGCTGAACAAGGTAACAATAAAGAACAAGTACCCATTGCCAAGGATTGATGACTTGTTTGATTAGCTGAGAGGCGCACTAGTGTTTTCTAAGATTGATTTGAGGTTTGGTTATCATCAATTGAGGTTGCAGATGAAGATATTCCCAAGATTGCATTTAGAACAAGATATGGACATTATGAGTTTACAATGATGCCATTTGGAGACAAATGCTCCAGCAATCTTTATGGATTTGATGAATAGGGTGTTCCATCCATTTATGGATAAGTTTGTGGTAATATTCATAGATGATATACTGGTATATTCGAAGAGCAAGGAGGAACAAGTAGAACACCTAAGGGCAATTCTGCAAACATTGAAGGAAAACCAACTTTATGCAAAGTTTTCCAAATGAGAATTCTGGTTGGAGAAAGTAGCGTTTATAGGTCACTTTGTGTCCAAGAATGGAGTAGAAGTAGATTTAGGAAAGATTGAAGCAGTGAAAGGTTGGCCTACACCGAAAACAGTGTCTGACGTTAGGAGTTTCTTAGGTTTAGCAAGGTATTATAGGCGTTTTATGAAGGATTTTTCGAAAATTTCTAAATCTATGACCACTCTAATGAAGAAGGACAAAAAGTTTGAGTGGGATGACAAGTCTGAGGAATCATTCCAACTCTTGAAACAGAAGTTAATTACAGCACCAGTGCTAACACTACCGGACGATAGTGGGATCTATGATGTATATAGTGACACATTCAAGAATGGCTTGGGATGTGGACTTATGCAAAATGGAAAGGTGATTGTGTATGCATCATGGATGTTAAAGACTCATGAAGTAAATTACCCAACTCATGACCTAGAATTAACTACAATCATTTTTGCACTAATGATTTGGCGGCATTACTTGTATGGAGTGAAATGTAGAATTTATACAAACTATAAGAGTTTAAAATACATTTTCACTCAAAAGGATTTAAACTCACGTCAAAGGAGATGGTTGGAATATACGACGGATTATGACTTAGACATACAATATCATGAAGGGAAAGCAAATGTAGTTGCGGATGCTCTAAGTTGTAAAACCAGTCATGGATTGAATACTTTGATAGTGGCCGATGAGTAGTGTAGAGAAATGAGGAAAATGAACCTAGAAGTTGTAGAATGGGGAGTGCCAGCGGGCATACTTGCAAATCTAAGCATCCAACCAACAATATTTGATGAGATAAGGGAAAATCAAATAAGAGATGTGAAGTTGGATAGGATTCGCGAGAAGATAAAACAAGGCAAGGCTATAGTTTTCAAAATTCATGAAGATGGAAGCTTAAGGTACAAAGGTCGTTGGCGCGTACCACAAAAATGTGAGGAGGTTAAAAGAAAATTAATGGAAGAGGGTCACAATACACCATACTCAGTGCACCTAGGATGGGACAAGCTATACAAGGATTTGAAAAAGGTATATCGGTAGCCTCACTAGTAGAAAAAATGCTATTTGTAACTGGAGAAATTGACTTTTTGTAACTGGCATTGTTGGTTGCGAATGCCACCGTTATAACTAGTGAAAATTATTCGTAACCGGTTAATGTTATTACAAATAATATACTATTCGTAACTGGCTTAACCTAATGCCAGTTACAAAAAGTCTATTTTCCAAGTTAGAAAGCATACTATTCGTAATTGGCATTAAGTTACGTCGGTAACAATTAGGGCATTATTAGTAACTGGCAAATCTTAACGCCGGTTACGAATATATTTCTTATATTTAAAAAAAAATACTATTAGTAACTAGCATTAGATTATGCCAGTTACTAATAAGTAATTAATTTTTTTTTTTATAAATATTTGATTCGAATACTAGCTTGGTAGTATATCCTATTGGACGACCCATTGTCAAATGGGTTAAAACTTGTTACAATTCACTTAACAAAACATGTACTCCAAATTATTTCACATAACTTAAACTCACCCACAACATACAATACAAATCAAACACTCCAAATAATTCCACACAACTTAATTTCATCCTCAACAATACAACAAAATAAATTGTACTTTAATTTCCACAAAACAATAAAAACTTGAATAAAAAAATTATTAATTTATAATTTAGGAATAAAATAACAATAACTAGTCTTTCAACAAAAAACTAAGCCTAAAAAACTTAACCCATTGTTTTCGAATCTCGTCCAATTCTACATCGTTGTAGGCTGCAAGTCTTGCCAAACACTCCTACAAATATAAATAAAACACATGCTTATTATAGTTTTTAAAACTAAAACATCATATCTGCCAAAATACGTGTAAAGCATTTTAGCTTGCAATGAAGAGGCAAATTCATCACTAGCCTCTTTCAAATTATCCTTGCAATCGCTATGGGAAGAAAGTATCTCCTACATATATCTCATTACATAATAAGCACATTCGGTACCACCACATTGTTGAGCATACTAATTCAAATAATAATAGTAAAATAGTTTAATAAATTAAATAGTACTTTCATTACTAATAGAATGAAAAAGCAAATATTATACACTTACCTCCATTCTAGTGTGTAGTACAATTAAGCTTACCTCCGGTCATTTAAAATAGATTTAGTTATTTAACATTATACGTACCAACATATTTAATATAGATTTTAAGTCATTAAACATATTTTACATACATAATCAAATTAACTTGTAACAAAGAAAATTAAAGGAATTGCGACACAAGTAGATAAGATAAAGAATGAATACTGATTTGCGTCAAAAGCAAAAAAATGAAAACATAAAGTAAAAGCCATAAAAATATCTACATAAAGTTAATTAAGATGTATTAGTACAAGTAGAAAAAATAGAGTCAATAACCATTTAGGGGGTGTTTGGTATCAAATTAGTAAATGTAAGGGAATGGAAACAAATTAGAAGGGGAAAGGGTAATATATAGTGTTATCCTTACTAGTTGTTTGGTATTACTAAGGAAACGTAAACAATTGTAATCAATCCCTTTCCTCTTGTTTGGCATAGATAACTTGGAAACAAATAGTTTTCCTTCTAATTTTTAATGTCTTGGCTAACTTTTGATATACATTATACAATGTAGAGCAACACTAACTACCATAATATACATATATATATTTTTTGAACCGATTACCATAATATATCATATGCTAGATATATAGGCAAAGTCACATAAGTTGTTGATTACAAAAGCATTGAAATTCTAGTATTCTCAAAAAAAAAAAAAAAAAAAAAAAAAAAAAAAAAAAAAAAGCATTTAAAAACCATTAAAACATTAACTCCAATAACAACAACTTAGGACAAAACTTTCTACTTCTTCTTAAGAAGATCAATTGCATATTGTTTCTTCATATTAGTTGGAGCTTGATAGAAGATGCGAAGCTTATGTTCTTCCGCCATGAGAATTGTAGCAACCTCTAAAGCTTTGGATGGAGAAATTCCATCTAACTTCATCACCTCATCCAAAACCTTGTTCACTTTTTCATCCATCATTTTCTCTCTTTCTTCCGCTTTAGACCATGCACTAGCCATAGTCCCAAGATTAACATTGATATTTTCAAATATCTTCCCAAAATTGTTAGAAACATCATGGAGGGAGGCCACCAAATCATCATCATCATTCCTACAAAAACTCTTCAAACCTACCTTGTTCTTTCCCTTTACCTTAGCCTCCTTCGCCTTTGTAGAATGTTTTCCGGATTGAGTAGTGGAATCACTTGCGGAAGAATGAATCGTAGAAGCCTTCACTTTTGCCACTTTTGAAGGAGTTGAGTGATCATCCTCTATCTTCATGGGACGTTTTCCGGATTGACTTGTAGAAGAATAAGTGTCTGAATGAGTAGAATTCACATCATCTTCATCACTCTCGACATTCAATGGTTGCTTATCAATGTCTTGATCCATATCTTCTATAGCATCAACAAACGACTCACTTGCATCTCCGGTAGCTTTGTCTTTTGCATAAATTTCTGCTAGAGTGTCATAATGAACGAATGGAAGTCCAAATAACCCCTTAACTTTCTTATGAGTCTTCCATATAAGAAAAAGAAAAAAATTGTTAACAAAATTTCAATAACCTTCTGACTATAAAATTTAATACTAGAGTCTCAATCAGAGAAAAAATAGAATACTTAATAAAATATCAGACAGAAAATCCAGGCAGATGTACTAGAGTCTCAACCAGAGAAAGATTAGAATACTTAATAAAATATCAGCGTAATATTGGATGAACAGTAGATTCAAATCCAGCAGCCAGATTTTAGTACTGTAGAAAGCAACAGAAATGTGAACAACTGCAGTAATGCCTATCAAAATAGCATCAAGAAAGCCTACCAGCAGATAAAGAGCCAATAATAAAATAACAGGAATTATAAGGTAATGCCTATCAAAATTTAATTCAAACTTGTTTCCCAATAAAATCACTCTTTTAAACACTGCATAAAATCTTGGATGAAGAAAACATAAAGGATGTGGCTGACATTGTAATTAAGGTAGATTATGTGGCTATGTGTCCTAAATTGTGGTTGTGACTAACATATATCCTAACAGGGTTTATAGGAATCACTGACGAAGAATGAAAAAAATTTAGTGAATTAAAATGGTGAAACAGTATTCAACAGATGATAGAGCAAGAATTATATTACTAAACAAAGAAACAGATCATCAGTCATTGAAAACTGAAGGAAGGAGCAGCCAAAGAATAAACAAGTTATATTGTATTAAAATACTGCAGTAAGAAAGTATACAAGGCCTCCAACAGGGGAATAGCAGCATGGGGGAGGGGCAGCAGGGGAATAGTAGCATGGGGGAGGGGCAGCAGCAAGGGAATAGCAGAAGGGGGGAGGGAAGCAGCATACCTTTACCCATCCGTCGAACACCGACTTATCTACTTGAAGAATCTTCTTCTCATCATCCCATCCAAATCCTATCCAAATCCTGAGGTGGATAACATTTCCTCCAATGCACTATATTTCTCCGACCAATTCTTGATCCTCGACTCAATGTGGGGAACCGCTCTCAAGCCGCAATTAGGAAGTACACCATTGATCATCTCTTCCAACTTATTCATGTAACCATTCTTAAACCCATTCTCACACTTCCACTTCAAATCGCAACTCAACTTATGCAAATATCTTATTAGAACCGCATCTTCTTCATACGTCCAATACCTTTTATTTTTACCTCTACCTCGATTGCTTGCCTCACCCTTAGCTTGACTAGCCTCCATCTGAAAAATTAAAAACAAAAAATAAAAAACCAAAAATCAATTGAAGCTACTACTGACCTAATGTTGATATTTCCAAAATAAAGACATCATTTAACAATCACCATTGAAAATGTTAACATACAAAAACATAACACCATAAAAAAGGTAGTGGTACAGATGCAATAAAGACTGAAAGGATAACAAGCAAACTAGTAGAGGTTATGAGATGTCAAGACTTAAGAGTAAAATTATGGAGATTATGAGATTAATGAGTTTTTTTTTTCAACAATAGATTTAAAAGGTACATAAATTTAATTAGCACCCAAAGATCCATCAATTGTGTCAAAAGAGGCTGGAGTGCCTAAGATGCATCAGTATTAAAGTGCCTTAGCAAAATTTCCTAGCCTATAACCATGAAGGCAATGAAGCACACTAGTACAAATCAATGAAAACTAGAAAATATAATGTCCAAGACAAAATCCTAATAGTAAATCTAGACCAATGAAGCCTTATGTTTCGATACAAGATCAATGTACACCAAACTTTACAATCAAAACAACATAATAGGATTAACTAATCTTGAATTGAGAATGATGGGATTACAACAATACAGAAAAACACACTCACTAATAAGAAATGTCTGGTAAATGATAACAGTCCTTAGTAACCATCATAAACACACAACTCTCTTTACTCCTTCAGAACAAAATATAAGGCATATTAGAATTGAACAGGACAAATCAATGAAGCATAACATACTTTTTATGTTATTGACCATGTCTACCTCTCGCCCTCCAATCGTTAAACATATCTTGGGCTAATGTGTTTCTAATATTGGTCCAATGATTTGAAGTAGCAACACTTGTAAGAAATTCCCTCTCATCATCAGAATCACTCTCGGAATCATTATCGGATTCACTCAATTCATCTTCTTTTATATCATCCGTAGGCATGAATTTTCTAATTAGATTATGTAATAAGCAACAAGCCATCACGATGCGTCCATGAGTTCGAATAGGGAAAAACGAAGGACTTCTAAGTATACTCCATCTTCCTTTAAGTAGGCCAAAACATCTTTCAATCACATTTCGCGCTCTAGCATGTTTCATGTTATAGAATTCCTCGGCACTTTCGGGTTGTCGATCCGTCCATTCTTTTAAATGGTATCTTTGACCTCTATATGGAGCAAGAAAACCCTCACAATTCGTATACCCCGCATCAGCCAAATAATAATTACCTTCAAAGTTATTGAAAAAAAATAATTACTTCCAACCAAAACTAATAAAACATATACACTCACAAAAAAGGCCTTCACTTACCTCGAGGTACTCTAAAACCGTTTGGTCTAGAAAGAGCATTTCGAAGTACACGCATATCATGGGCCGAGCCTTCCCAACCACGAAGAACATAAATAAATTGCATATTAAGTGCACAAACACCCAATACATTCATAGCAATCGTTCCTTTTCTTGTTCTATACTTTGGTCGTTCTTGTGAAGGCACATTTACATTAATGTAAGTCCCATCTAATGCCCCTAAACAATTCTACAAAAATAGGAAAAAATATTACTTACAAACAAGCAAAAATAAGAAAATCCTAGCAAAATTTAGGGGCTGTGAAAATACCAATACCTTGAAGGATTTCCACCTTTCATCTTCACAATCATCCAATATTGGTGTGGGATTGTAAAGTAGTACTTCATGCAACTTGAGAAAAGCCCTTAGACAAAGGTGAAATTGTCGGCTCACGGTTTCTCCACTTCTATAGAAGTAATGTCCAATAGACCTATTCTTCTTATGATGAGCCAACGTGTATAAAAACATGACTACTATCTCTTGAAGCGACATGTTTTTTGTTCCACTCAAACCCCCAATTTCTCTAAGCATCTCACGAATAATATTGAAAGTTTTTCTATTAACGCGAAGCTCACTCTTGCATTTCACATTACTCTCCCTATAAAGCCCTCTCAATACTAACATCCGTAACAATTTTTTGTTTCTTTTCCTATCTTTTATTTGAACCCCCCTTATTGTAACAACGCTAATTATATACCACATCCAAATACATCAACATAATAATAACCATTGCAATTACTATTTGTATTTGTTTTAGCTTTTTCTTCCTTATAGAATGCATAAGTCGAGGCATTGTACAAGAAACACAGAAAATAAATGGCAATTGAACCTGATAAACGGCAAAACAATAGTTATATCAATCTCTAGTTAATCAAATAACAAATATTATCAATCAAATCATGAGGAGTAAACTAGTCAAGAAACAAGCAAAATTAAGCAAAAAACCATGGTCTATATACTCAAAATAGTAGCAGTAACTTTCTCACTGTAATGCATACACATATGGAGCAAAATAAGACATGTATAGCACCAGAAAACCATGGTCTATATACTCAAAATAGTAGCAGCAACTTTCTCATCGTAATGCATACATATGGAGCAAAATAAGACATGTTCAGCACCACCAATAATCTATTACATTCATAACATAGATATAATTACCAAATGAAGAAATTATACAAAACTCCAATGTTTGTTAAATAATTTCAAATGAATTGAAGCTTAAAACAATAACATTCATAGCTGAAACTTGAAGTAATTATAATAATACAATCAAAAATCAAACAAAAACAACTTTCTGAATATTGCAATTGAACACGCAAGTTATAAATTCATACCAAAAAGCGCAAAAAATGATACTACATGAACCCTAGAAATTGAACGAAAACAACTTTCTGAAGTTGCAATTGAACACGCAAGTAATAAATTCATACCAAAAACGCAAAAATTGATACTACATGAACCCTAGAAATTGAATGAGAGAAATGAAGATAGCAAACCTGTGATAATTTCTGAAGATTTGCAGAAGAAATCGAAAATTTAGGAGTAAGATTTGGAGAATTGCAGCTTCCTTGTAGAATCGTCGAAATTTTTTGGGAATTTTCAGAGAATTATCAAGCAAGTGAAGAGGAGAGAGAAGAATTTTCTTTATTTTTTGTGTTAGAGGAAGGAAAGGGGATTTTTTTCCTCACCTATTACAGGGGAAACAATTGGGTGGATTGGGTTACCCCTAACTAACGGTTTGTGTTACTTTAGTCCGTAACCAAACACAATGTAACGGAAACGCTAATATGATTCCATTTCCATCCCTATAAAATCCCTATACCAAACACTCCCTTATAATTTTTGTCCAGGTTCAGTAAGAAAGAGGAAGAAAGAGTAAAATATAATGTTAGGATTATCTGGTACATCATATGTCTAGTAGGAAAAAAGAAGAGTAAATTAAGATGACAACAGAAAGATGCATGTAGAGCAATGAGAGAGTGACATACTTGACAGTTGGAAACCAAGAAAGAGATCATAATTGCCAAAACTAAGTAAGACAGACCTGTTTGATCAACTCCAACAATGATCTAGTGGCAATTCAGCAACCAATCTAACAATATCTAAGCATACGAGCATTTAATTAATGAAAACCAATCCAATAAAAATATAATAACAAATCAACCCCAATAAAACAAATGGTAATTGACAACTTTACATAGAGAAACCTAATTCAGAATTCAATATAACGAGATAAACCCATCAAATCATCTCCATATATTAATCCATCAACCCATTTTCATAAATAAACCCATCAAATTATTGACATACATTTAAGCTAAACCTGAGAAAAAGAATATGCTTTCACAAACCCCATAAAATTTATTTGATATAAAACCAAGAAAATACAGAGTAACATAGTTCAAAAATAAGAGGAGAATTAGAAAACTCTAGTAAGTATAGAGATACCTGAAAGGGTGGAATGAACGAAGAAAACGGTGTTGCTTTGGTGGTAGCCTGAACATTACTATACTGAAGAAGGGAAGAGGAGGAGGAGAATACTCAGTCAGTAGTAGTAAAGGGGTGAAATGCCACCGTTCAATGGAGAGGGACAGGCATGAGCGGCGGTGAGAAAGTGGAGCTTAGCAATCATAATTCAAGTAATTCATCCCCTTCTCTTCCCTAACCCAAGGCCGAACATCCAATTCCTCTAATATAGTAGTGACTGGACATCCAATTCCTCCCCTTCCCCAATAGAAAGGCCGAACATCCGTAATTTCGCCACCCCCTCAGCAATAGAACGACATAAACAAAATATTATAAGCAATCAAAGCCAAACAACCGATGATTGACTACCTGAGTCAAAATATTACAAGAATTTTGCCAAACTTAGGGTTCATCATTCGAATCAAGGTGCACCCTTATAATAATAAAAATACATAAATTAAGTGGAGATCGAGAGCATACCAAAAAAAAAAAAAAGAAACAGAGATCGAAAACATACCTTGATATTCTTGATGAAATAGTTTAGGAGAAGCGTTAGATCATAGCAGTTTCAATGGAGAGATAAAGTTGCAGGTTTATGTGTGAAAAAACAAAAAATAAAAAATAAAAAAATATTAAATAAATAAATAAATAATACAAGAGTAGGTAAAATAAGCGCAGACTACAACTACTAATCCTGGGCACCGTGCCGTGCCGGGCCGCCGCGGGCCGTGCCTGGCGGGCCACGGGCTGGTTCGTGCCGTGCCGGTCGTGCCGGCGGGCCCAGGATTTCGTGCCGTGCCGTGCCGGCCATTTTCACAGGCCAGCCCACGGCACGGCACGGCCCTCGTGCCTGGCGGGCTCGTGCCGTGCCGGCCACGTGCCGGCCTGCGGGCTGGTGCAGTTTTTTTTTTTTTTTTTTTTTTTTTTTTTTTTTTTTTTTTTTTTTTTTTAATGACAACATTATAAATTAATAAGTTTATAATGTATATAAGTTATAAAATTATAATTATAAGTTTTATAAGGTAACTTATAAGTTTATAACTTATAAGTTATAAGTTATTAAGTTATGAATTTTATAATTATAAGTTGAATATTTATGTTTTATAATTTGTATATTCAATATTTATATTTATATATTTACTTTATACTATTACTTTAAAATTTAATGTTTATGATTTATTAGTAATTGGTATAATTTTTTTTTTTTAATATGAATTTACAAATTGTAACAAAACGGGGAAAAAAGGCAAATTGGACTTTGGATGTGAATAATGCGTACTTTATATTATTATTACTTGAGTTGAGAAAATTGTACAATGATAACAATGATAAAAATCATACAATGATGGTATTAAACAAAAATTGGAAAATGATAAAATTGATATTTTTAAAATCGTACAATATACAATAATTGTCTATTCTTCTTCTCCTTCTTCTTGCTCGTCTTCGTCTTCGTCTTCGTCTTCGTCTTCGTCTTCGCCTTCGCCTTCAAGGTCATCGGCTAGTTGCATAGATTGGGAACTAGCCGAACCCGAACCGGAAGCGGAGGTTCCTTCTTCGTTGTCGTTGTGGTCGTAAGAACGGTCTTGTGAGCGATTTTCCGCATCCAACCAATCTTTGAAACACACGCACATTTCTAGTGTTTCGGGTTTTAGACTTGTTCTTCTATCGTCTAAAACCCTTCCGGATGCGCTGAAAGCTCGTTCGGAGGCGACGGAGGAAACTTGGATAGCAAGAATGTCTCGTGCCATTGCCGCCAAAGTTGGATGCTTCGAGCTTTGTTGTTTCCACCATGCAAGGAGGTCGAGGCTGTTTATCTCATCGTCGTCCATGCCTTTGGTGAAGTCGTAACTCAGGTACATCTGCAACTCCGAGACGTCGCTTTGCGTTCTCCTGATTGATGAATCACCTGAAAACCTTGAAATCAAGTTAGTAGCTTGTGAAAATAAATGTTTGGCCTTCTTACTTACGTTTTTGGATGGTTGGGAAGGCCCTGAGCGAGGAACGGTGCCATATTTGGCTTCATAGACTCTATATAAAGCAAAAAACTGATCTTTCACATTAGTCTTATAGTTTTCTACATCATCGTCAAGAAACATGCATTGAAAGTAAATGTCAACTAACATAAATGTGTTTTCATACTTTTGCCTAGGATCTAATATGGAAGCAAAAATATAAATCAAAGGAATCTCACTATAATATTTACGCCACTTTTTTTCCATTGCTGGAAGATACTGATCATAATCACTTTGATCGCGATGATCAGCGAAAAGTTGGGCGAGTAAGCATGCATTAGAAAGAAAGTTTTGAGCACAAGGATTGTAAACAGTAGAAAAACAATACGTCATGTTATATAATAACTGTAAAAATTGCATATATCTTTCACAGTTTTTCCAATCATCATCATACAAAGCATTTTGTGGAAATTTTTGGTTGTAAAATAATGTTAACGGGCCCTTGTACTCAATTGCCTTTGTTAACATGTCATAGGTGGAATTCCACCTAGTTGGGCAATCGGTTCTAATTTTTGTTACCCTTATCTTTTGTCGTTTTAGAAAACTCTTCCATTCTTGGTATCTCATGTTAGAGCTATTAATAGACATAATAGCATCTCTGATTTTGCTGTAGTATGGGCCAATTGCCCGAACTCCATCCTGTACACATAAGTTAAGTACATGGCAAACACATCTAGTATGAAGAGCTTCACCGTCTAATAGTACATCGGTTAAGTTTTGTTTGATAAGATTAGCTGTGTATGTCATAGAGGTTGCATTATCAAAAGTCATAGACATCATTTTATCTCGAAGGTTGTATTCGTCTATTGCTTGCATTAAATGGTGAGCAATGTTAATGCCGGTGTGTGGGTATTCCAGCATTTTGAAATGTATTATTCTTTTTTGTAACATCCATTGATCATCCACCAATGGCAAGTCACACATAAATAGTGATATTTATAACCACTATCCCAAGAATCGGCTGTTAAAGATACTCTACAGTTAAGGTTACTCAATTCGGCTTGTAACCGGACTTTGTACTCTAGGAAATTTTTCATTGCGGCGGAACGAACGGTTTTCCTAGAGATTCTTTTATGTTGGGGTTGTAGTGCTTTGTTAATGTAGGTGTTGAATGCGTCACTTTCCGAGAAAAGAAAAGGTTGTTCGGCGTGTACTATCATTTTTCCTAGTTCATCCCTATCCCTCTCATAGTTGTATGTAAAGCCGTATGGATGGAATTGGGAAATTTTGGGCTGGGTTGGATCACTAGCTGGTTTTGCACAAGCTTTCATGTGTCTAGATAAGTGTCCCGTCCCGTTTTTGGTAACTGCCGTGAATACACTATTACATGTTTTACATTTTGCCCATTGTTCACCATCTTTACTTAGGACAAAATAACGCCATACCTCACTCCTTCGGTTTTTCAAAAGTAGCATCTCAGTTTCGGTTAACCATTCATGATGTGTGTGATGGTTAGTAGTGGGACTAGTGGGAGTGGCAGTAGAAGGGGTAGAACTGGAGGGAATTCGGGTACTTTCTTGGCTACCTTGGCTAGAACAATAGTTTTGTTGATTACCGATATAATTAGGTGGAAATTGGTATGGTGGTAGTGGAAATTGGTTTAGTGGTGGTGCTGGAAATCCCGACGTATTATATGGCTCATAGCCCGGGGGGAAGTAAATGGGGTCATTGGTTTGACTCGTAATTTGGGGGCTCGTTGTATTTGGTGGTTCCCTAGAACTACTACTACGGATAAGTCGGCCTTTCCCCCTAGACCTAGATGATGGGTTGTTCGATGCCATAATTAACAATTAATTTTTTAATAAAAAGTGGTTAACTATAATAATAATAATTAATAACAACAATTTTAACAATAAAAATATCAATAATATTAATTAATAACAACAACTATAACAATAACAATAACAACAAAAATAAATAATAACAACAATTGTAACAATAATAATAATTAATAACAACAATTATAACAACAACAATAACAATTAACAACAATAATAATTAAACAAGATTATTCTAATAATAACAATAAAACAATAATAAATTTAAGATTAGTTTAGATCTTACAACCGTGCTTCAACGCTCCACTAATTACGATTACGAACTTTTTAATTTTTTCCGATATTAGGAAAATAATTAGAGAATTTAAGAGAATAATTAGAGAATTTAAGAAAATAAGGATTATTAGAGATTTAGAGAATATAAGAGATAAGAAGAAGAGATTGTGATTTTGTGATTTGGGAATGAAATGGAGGTGAGTATTTATAGAATTTTTGGCAAAAAACTAGCCGTTTTATAGCCGTTGGCCCGCGGGCCGTGCCTACGGGCCGTGCCTGCGGGTCGTGCCTGCGGGCCATCACGGCGGGCCATGCCCGTGCTCGTGCCGGGCCGTGCCTGGGAATTCTCAACCGTGTCCGTGGCACGGCCCGTGGCACGGAAGTTGAACTTCGTGCCGTGCCGTGCTTGACTTCGGGCCGTGCCGGGCTGCGCCGAACGGCGGGCCGTGCCGGGCGGCACGCGGGCCAACCCGGCCCGTGCCCAGGTTTAACAACTACTACTAATTTTTTGATTTATTTAAAAAAAAATACAAGTGAACTGTGAGGGGTTGTGCCCTATTATTAGTAACCGACCTTAATAAAGCCCATTAAAACTAATAAGGTCAATAAAGTCTGACTTATTATTTATAACTGGCCTTTTTTTATGCCCCTTACTAATGATTGGTCACCTATCATTAACCTACTATTTGTAACTGACCTTGGTTATGCCATTTACTAATACTAATTTATTTGTAACCACACTATCTAAGTCAGTTACTAATAGTCTTTTGGTAACTAACATAATTTATGTCAGTATTATTAGGGTGTTACAAATAGCACTTTTTCTACTAGTGCCTAGAATGAAGAATGAGGTTGCCGAATTTGTAGCAAAGTGTTTGACTTGTCAAAAGGTGAAGATAGAGCAAAAGAGACCTCAGGAAACTGTTCAACCATTGGAAATCCCTAGATGGAAGTGGGATTGTCTATCAATGGACTTTGTGACTTGCCTCTCAAAGTCAAAGAGTAGAAATGACACCATTTGGGTAGTGGTGGATAGACTTACAAAATTTGTGGTGTTCATACCAATGAAGGAGACATGGAAGATGGATCAACTTGCAAAATCTTACGTCAAGAATGTTGTGAGATTACATGGAGTTCCAAAGGATATTTTGTCTGATAGAGATTATAAGTTTCTTTCAAAATTTTGGAAGAGTATGCAGGAAAACTTTGGTACAACACTAAAAATGAGTACATCATTTCACCCTGCCACAAATGGAAAAAATAAAAGAACCATACAAACCTTGGAAGATATGTTGAGGGCTTGTGTTATAGACTTTCAAGGGGGAAGGGAAGATAGCTTGGACTTGATTGAATTTTCCTATAATAATAGTTACCATGCAAGCATAGGCATGGCTCCATTTAAGGCTTTATATGGAAGGAAGTGTTGCAATTCAATTAGTTGGAACGACATAAGTGAAACAATGATCTTAGGGCCTCAAATGATTGAGGATACATTTAAACAAGAGAAGGAGATTAAAGCTAAGATTCAAGCAGCTCAAGACCATCAAAAGAGCTATGCAGATTTAAAGCATAGAGAAGAAGAATTTGAGGTT